AAACGCAGGTTTTCAGGCGTTGGGGGTGCGGGCTTGAATGCTCCTGCGGCGGCCAATGGCGGCCCGGCTCCTTTGAACGGCGCGATGGGAGGTGGGTTGGGTGAGAATGGAGTGAACAGCGTGAGCACGAACGTGAGGGTGCAGCAACAACGACAGCAACCTGGGGCTAACGCACGACATGTGCGGTCGGCCACGTGGGACGGCCAGAATTCAAGATCCGGCGAAAGCAGTGGCGGTGGCAGCATCCGGCGGGTTGATCCAGATCACACGCACAGCGAGTGGCGCAGGGGAAGGAACCCAGCGGAGGTAGATGGACAGTTGATGGCTATGGATAGGCTGGAGGGAATTGGAGGTGGAGGAGGTATTCCTCTCCCTCTCCAGGCACACCTGGGAACATCTATTCCTTCACCGCTGCCACAGCAAAGAGGTCATTACAGGCGAATGAGCTGGAGCCAGGAGTCGCGGCATCCACAGCATCAGCAACAGCAGCTCATGATGGGAATGGTGCCAGAGCATAGAGATGGTCATGATGCGACCATGCACTTGCGGCAAGACAAAGAGAGGGGAATGGTGATGCCAGCCCCCGAGCAGGATAGGCAGTCGGAACAGCGTGACGGCTCTAGGCAAAGCGGTGTTGTCACGCAACTACTCCAGCAGCAGCAGCAGCAGCAGCAGCAGACGCAGTTGGCCCTTCAACAGCAGCAGCTGCTGGCTCATCAAAAGCACCAGCAGCAGCTGACTCATCATCATCAGCAGCAGCAGCTGGCACATCAACAGCAGCAGCAGCTGGCACATCAACAGCAGCAGCAGCTGGCACATCAACAGCAGCACCAACCACAGCAATGGTATGGAAATAGTTCTGGATATGGTGGAAGAGAAGTGGGAGAGAAGATGGGACGCACTGAAGATCGAGGGGATGATAGTGGTTGGGAGGGGCACCACCAGAATCTGCAAGCTGCTGGTGATGATGGGCTGACAGGAGGTGGTAGGGCTCATGCTCCTTCCCCAGCATTGCGGGGTCGAGAGGGAGGCGACGCTATGGGAAATCGTGTGAGTGGTGGGTCGATGGGAGGTGCAGATGTGGTCAATAACGTGGAGAGGATCCATCGGCGCTCCCGTTCATCCGGTGGATTTGCGGTGGAGGAGCAGCAGATGGGGGTTGAGACAGGGGAAGCAGGAACACCATCGAGCAAGAGTCGGTCCGAGTACGAGAGGATGAAGAGGGAAACCGGAGATCGAAGCCGTGATGGTAGTGGGTATGACGGACCGCAGGATGAAGACGAGAAGGGAAGTGGCGACAGGATCAACGGGCGCAACAAAGAGAAGGTGAAGGAGGGGGAGGCTGAAGTTGAGAGGTATCAGCAGCAACTGCAGCAGGTCCCACCTTGGGTAACAAGAGGGGGGGCGCCGTCTGTGGCAGCAGCGAGTGCGGGGGCGGGGAGAGGAAACAGTACCGTGCAAACAAGGAGAGGCCGAGCAAGGAGTGACTCTTTTGATTGGGGCGGGGCGCGGCACAGAAGTGATATGAGCAGCAACTGGCGGTCGGGGGGGCCGAGGGATGGAGAAGAGAGTGCAGGACATCATCAGTTTTTCCACGGCGATGAGAAAGATTGGAGCAGCGAGAGAGAGAGGGTAAGAGACCGTGGGGAGGAGCGGCTGGACAGGGATGAATGGCTGGCGATGGAGAGGGTGGAGAGGAGGGAGCGTGAAGATCCTCAGATTCCACGCCGAGTTGAGAGAGAGGACAAGCAGCAACGATGGGTGGGCATGGGTGAGAATAGCGATCGGGAGAGGGACCCTCCTCCTCCACCCCCAGAACGGCGCAGCGGTGGTGGAAGTATCCGTAGGAAGGAGCCATCTTCCTTGTCTGCCATCCCACCGGTGAGTCCTGTGGTTGGTGGGCCAGTGGGAGCCAGCCCGCGACCCTCTCGATTAATGTTTGGAAGGGCGGTCCCTCAACTGGTGCAGGAGCTGGAGGAAAAGCTGATGAAAGGACAAGTGGAGTGTATGATATGCTGCGAGATTGTTGGGAGGAGCAGTTCCGTGTGGTCCTGCAGCAGTTGTTATGCCATCTTCCATCTCTCCTGCACGAGGAAATGGGCTCGAGTCCCCGTTGCGACAGCGAGCGATTTGTCGGCGGCAGGTGGACAGCAGCAGCCGGGTGGCTCAGGGGAGGGTACCTGGCGTTGTCCTGGCTGTCAAACGCCACAGTCTATCAGAGCTAGTGAGCTTAGGTACCGTTGTTTCTGTGGCCAACGGGAGGACCCTCCCAATGACCCCTATCTCACTCCGCATTCCTGTGGAGACGCTTGCAGGAAGCCCTTGGCTCGCCCAACCTCTGATGGGGGTTATCGATGTCCTCACGTGTGCACCATGCGATGCCATCCTGGCCCTCATGCACCTTGTGCAGCCATGGCGCCCACTGTCTTCTGCTACTGCCGCAAGAGTGAAATCACGCGCAAGTGTGCGGATTATGAGAAACATGGGCGAAGCTGTGGGTCCACGTGCATGCGGTCACTGGCCTGCGGGCGTCATACCTGTCCGAGGGTGTGTCATGAAGGCGCTTGTGGTGTCTGTGAAGTGACCGTCAAGACCAGGTGTTTCTGTGGCAAAAAGGAAGAGCTGCAGTCGTGCGGGCGCATAGAGTTCAAGGGGGAATTCCCAACATCCGGTGGGGTCTTCTCCTGCATGGAGCGCTGCTCCAAAATACTTGGCTGCGGAAACCACAGGTGTGAGAGGTTCTGCCATCCTGGTCCTTGTGGCGACTGCAGACTCCTACCTTCTCTTCTTCTTCGCTGCCCCTGCGGTAAAGAGGAAATAAAAAATCTGCTTGGTGGTATGGACAGAAAAGGCTGCCTTGATCCCGTTCCTACATGCGAGGGAGTCTGTGAGAAACTGCTTGCTTGTGGCAAGCATCGTTGCGAACAGACCTGTCATAATGGTGCATGCCCACCCTGTGAGGTTCCAATGGAACAGAAGTGCCGCTGCGTCTTGGCTGTCCGCATTGTTCCGTGCTTCCAGTTGGACGTAGGTACTGTCTTCACGTGTGATCGGAAGTGTGGTAAGCTGAAGAACTGCAGGAGGCATCGTTGTTCTGCTGTCTGTTGTGCAGCCCCGCCCGTGGATTCTCCTGGGCCTACTGCACCAGTGCCTGGAGATAGTCATTTCTGCATGATAGTATGTGGCAAGAAGCTTCGCTGTGGCCGGCACACTTGCCAGGAGCTCTGCCATCCCGGACATTGTCCGCCATGCATGGACTCTGTTATGACAGAGCTCGAGGTATGTCTGCTGTTCCTCTGTGTTATTGTCACGTGCTGGAAACTGAATGCTTCGGCCTCTTCCCTCTTTTCTTTACTTCCCAATGTCCCAGGCGGCAAATCCTGGTAACCTGTTTACATCAATGTGTGTTTTTCCTCATGGAAAATGCTGTTTGTGAACTTAGTGTCGATTTTTTTGTTGCCCATGTTGGAAATCTTTGCCGTACCCCGTCCTCTCCTGCCTCATTTTTGCTGAGCAGGAGTGCAGGCTGCCAAATGAAATTGAGAACAAAGAGTGGTTGGATTTCTGCTGACGATGCTTGGTTTCAATCTCAGTGGCTTTAGTGCTTTTTCTTTTTTTTTGAGGTAACTTTTTTATTATATCAAATCTTCCGACGATGGCAACGGAAATCTCTGCTCCACAATTCCTTGGCTATCTGATCCCCCTTCTTGTCATTTGGGCAATCGTGCAAACAATGGCTCAGGGTCTCTTTCGCTCCTTCCACACAGGCAAGGCAGAACTCCTCTAAGGGCTTTCTGTTTCTTTACTCATACGCTCATTTGGTCATGCATTCACCTGTGTGCATATTGTTGGGAGTTCAGGAGGATGCGTATGCCTGCATGTCTTGCAGCTGATGATTACAGAGCAGGTAGCAGTCTAATCATGGATCGACAGGTCCATGTTGCAAAGCATGCCAGGCAACATCCTTCTGGGAGACAATGTCCTGTGAGGCTCTGGCCTGTTGTTCCAGGTTCGACCGTAGAATCAATCAGGGGGCTGTTTATTATGCCACTGATGATGATGATGACCCCAAGGCGTGCGAGTGTGTTACGTGCATGAGTGTTGGTAGGCGTGTGTGTTTGTGTGTGTGTGTGTGTGTGTTTGTGTGTGTGTGTGTGTGTGTGTGTTTTTTTTTTTTGTGTGTGTGTGTGTGTGTGTGAGAGAGAGAGAGAGAGGTGTTGTTTGAGGTTTGGTTGAGGTTTGGTTGAAATGGAATTTAAGATGACGCAGGATATTGAGTGCAGTTGTTCACAGGGGAATGAGTTGGGGTATACAGGGCCGGTCGAATGAAGATAATGAGGTGGTTTGTGATTACACATGTTAAAATTTGTCATTCTTGCAATAGACATCTCCAAATTGTGGCCCCTTCCTCTTTCCCCTGCGGATGACGTGATTTGATTTGTGCATTTCATAAAACATTTTCGATTGAGTGCAGTTGTTCACAGGGGAATGAGTTGGGTTATCTGGGCCCAGTCGAAGGAATGAAGATAATGAGGTGGTTAGTGTTTACAAATGTTAATTTGCAATTCGCGCTAAAGGCCCCTCCAAATTGTGCCTCCTTCCCCTTTCCCCTGCGGATCATGCGATTTTGATTCGTGCATTTCGTAAAACGTTTTTGCGCCATCCCCTTTCCCCTGAGGATGATGGCATTTTGTTTTGTGCATCAAAACACATGCCATATCCAAAACGCACAAAATTTTGTAAATATTAGAAAGGAAGAAGCAAAGGCTCCCATGCCACACAACTTTGTTTTGGCAAATATGGTCTTAAAAGTTGTGAAGCAGGTCGCATATCATATCAAGGAATTGAAGCGGAGTGTCGTGCGGTCACCAGGAATTTTTGGAGAAATGGTAAAATAATAAAAATATGGGTGAGAGTTTTTCAGATATTCCTATTATGAATCTACGGAAGTAAGGATGGGAAAAGGAAAAGGAAACCCTACAGGTTGGATTGCTCGTGTTTCCCAAGGACGAATTATTTTTGAAATGGATGGCGTTAGTTTCGTAAAACATATTCGCCTTGGAATTGTAGTTTTTTACTATTTTTTTACTAAATTTTAGTGTAGGATTAACTGATTGTTTTTAAATGTGTGTGCACCAATCGGCTGTAGGCTCTTCTTTGCTCCTTGAGTGATACAGTCAGGGATCGATTGACCATTGCTTTCCTCTTGCTTGTGACTATTCTGCTTTAACGTAGCAAGGAGGCAAAAAGAGAGAAAGGGGGGGATTTGGATGTTGCTCTACGTGAACCTGTGTGGAGATTAGCATTCTGGTCTAGACCACTACTCATTTGGTTCTGGCGGCCTGCGACTGCGCGCCAAGCTTTTCCGAACCATCGTCAGTGGTGCATTTTTTTTCTTTTTTTGGCTGGCGCCGCCAGCCATTGTGGTCCAGTAGGTGTAAGGTGCGAGATTTTAGAGTAGGCGGCGAAACATTTTCTGCAAGGGTGGGGCCGTGTACTGTTGTCTCAGCATTTCGTTATTGTGCAGTGTTGTGTGTCATCATGTGTGGAGTTTTTTTTTTTTTTTTGGGATCATTTCTCGATTTATGCGTGTCATATTTGTGCAGGGGCCATGCTAATCTTCTCTGTATCGTTCCAATTTTAATGGATGTCCCGAAGGACTCCTGTGTGGAGATTTGTATTCTGGCTGACTTTTGATTTTTGTCCAGTCATTTGTGTTAGTCGTCTGCATGCTTAGAAAATAACAGAGCGCTCTTGTTGCTGTTATGTGTGACTGTTTTGCTGTTGTTTGTCCAGTGTGCATGCGGGCGAACGTCAATTCCTCCTCCGGTACCCTGTGGCACGCCATTGCCAGCATGCCCGTTTCCATGCTCTGTGCCACAGCCGTGTGGGCACCCGTCAACGCATCTCTGCCACTTTGGAGACTGCCCACCTTGCACTGTGGCAGTAGCAAAGGAGTGTGTAGGTGGACATGTCGTGCTGCGCGGGGTTCCCTGTGGGTCCAAGGACATTCGCTGCAATGCTGTGTGCGGTAAACTGCGTCGATGTGGCATTCATACTTGCACCCGCACTTGTCATAGACCTCCTTGCGATGCAGTTGAGATTGAGGGTGAAGGGGACCACACATCGCCAGGGAGTAGGGATGGATTCTCAATATCGCGAAGCAGCAGGCGTCTGCCTTGCGGGCAGACGTGTGGGCAGCCCAGACGTGATTGTGAGCATTTCTGTAAAGCTGTTTGCCACCCTGGTGAAGCGTGTCCAAACTCGAGGTGCACAGCTGTTGTTGCAATCGTTTGCTTGTGCGGTAGACTGAAGGCGCAGGTGCAGTGTTGCGCTGGGGGGGGAGATGATGATGATGGTTTTGATGAAGCTGCATTCGTCTCCCAGCTTGGTTTGAAACTCCAGCCTGTGCAACAAAGTGCCGACGGCGCATCTCCGGGATACGTTCCTCTCGGCAGGAGGAAGATCGCTTGTGATGATGAATGTGCGAAATGTGAGAAAAAGAGGATTCTAGCGAACGCATTTGGTGTTTCTATGGCACCTGGTTTGGAAGGAGAGGAGGGGACAGCGGGAGGTACGGAGTCCGGTGCAATGCTGATGGAAATGATTCGTAGAGATCCAATATGGGTCAGTGCTGTTGAGTTGCGGCTTCAGTTCTTGCTGCTGGGCTCTCGGAATGCTTTGAAGATGAGCACTGCATCTGCAACGAGCGGCATGAGAGTGCACGTCTTTCGGTATCTGCCAAAGGAGCGTAGGGCAGCCATTCATGAGCTGGCGGCGCGGTGGTTAATGGAATCCATATCTGTTGGGTGGGAGCCCAAGAGGTTTATTGTTGTTTACACGACTGCCAAGTCCCGTGCTCCGTTGCGGGGACTTATTTCCAAGCCAGGGAGCTCGGTTCCGGCCGTGGGCCATGCGGTCGCCCCATTGCCAAACGGGGAGGTGGATATGGACCCGAGGTGTGTGATATCGTTCTTTGACTTGCCAAGGGATGCAGATATCTCTGCAGGCATTCTACGCTTTGCAGGCGATTGTGAACTGGTGTGGCTCAATGATAGAAATGCGCTATCGGTTTTCAGCAACCCTATCCGTGCCACCACAGCACTAAGGTACCTGGACCATGCGTCGGCCTATTGGGGTGCGATAGCGCAGCAGTCGCAGCCTTCACAGTCTTCTTCAGCGGGTGCTTCCACTGGCATGCGTGTTTGGGGAAAGGGTCCTTCAGTCCAGGCCAGCAGCAGTTCTTCGAGTGGACAGCCTGCCCATGGAAGCTTGGCCATGAGACGCAATAGGTCGGGATCAGGTGCCTCTGCTGCTTGGCACGCTGATGCGTGGTCTGAGAATGAAACGCAGGCAGATCTTGAAGGAATCTCAGGTGGCAGCAGAGCCGATCCATTGACTCAAGTCTGGAAGCAGGAGCAGTCTGGTCTCGCACAGTCTAACTTCTGGAGTGCCCTAGCGGAGGAGGGTGATGGAGACGCAACTGAAGAGAACGGGGAAGGTAGCACGGCGGCAACCCCAAGAACAGAAGGGGGGGATGGCCAGAGAGGCTCTCATAGCCGCAGTGATAGTGGGGAGAGCTCGAAGAAAGGAGCATCGGGTTTGAATGCAGCTGGCACGGTACCGAGTAGTCCCAGCGGAGGGGGTTCGCCACTGAGCACATCCAGTGTGATTATTCGCAATGTCGGTGATGACAATAAATGGGGAGCAGGGGGCCTAGCGCTTGCAGGTCTCGGTGATGGTTGTGGAAAAGGGGACGATGAAGAAGATTGGGAGAGTGTGCTCGATGATCACTAGGCAATTCCTTAAACAATCGATCACCCTACCTGCCGCGACCATGCGGCGAGGAGGTGAGCTATCTCCGACCCTGTGGATCCTGCAATTCGAAAGCTGAGAGCCAATGAATTGAGGAGGTAAGTTATCTCCGACCCTGTGATTTCTCCGATTGCAATTCTTTACTTCGTGCAGGGTAGTAGACTGTGCGTGACGAAGTGGCACATGGTGAAGTGACCAAGTGCTTGTGAATAGTTTGGGAACGGTAGACAGCCATCGTCAACTGAGCTCTGATTTTGCAATGACAATGCTTTAGATGGTGTCTAGACTCGTGAGATTTTTGGTTGGCGGGCCTGTGATGTGTGGGGGGTTGGGTTGGGTTGGGGTGGGGGGAGGGGGGGGAGAAGAGGGTGTTGCAATGTGCAAATCTCGATTCTAAAATCTGAGAAGTATTGTTTCGTACAGCCTCCTGTTCTGAAAAGATACTCTTGTGTGTTTGCGGTGTGTTTCCGAAGTGGGTTTGGTATCCAGAATTTGCAAGTGGAAATATTTCTTGTTCAACCGGATGAACTGCACGGACGCTTGCCTCTGTTGAGAATTCTGATATGGTCTGTTTTTTTCTCATTTCTTTTTCCTTAAAACTTTTTCTTTTTCTTCTTCCTAAAACTACCACCCATGATGATGCGTAAGAAATTGTGGGGGCCCGCACCCTTGCTATGGCCGCGTCATTTGTTCTGCTTTCTGGATTTTACGGACTGCCTAGCAATGAGTGACACACAGGTACTTCTCCCACTGTGGGTTAATTCCTGTCCCGACCAACGTGGGCGGAACTCCTTTACTTGGCCTGCTAAGCAGCAGTCCATTTCATCTGCAGGCAGAGTGTTCGGATGCAGTTGCCTCCTCGATTGGGAGGCGAAGTGTTTCTACCAGCGAAATGGGATAAGCTTCCAGGAAATGTTATTCTTTATGGGAGAGGCGTGGAACGAACGTGGCGTGCATGTGGATCTGTGAAGTGGCAGGAAGCAGCCCCCCCACTCCTCCATGGGGGCGGATGAAAGGGAGATGAAAGCGAGTGTCTCATCCTAACCTTAGTCCATCCGGTTTGCACTCCTTGTACGTTTTCACGGCGATTACGCTGGTGGTGTCTACGGATGTCGACCGCGGATCATCAACAGTCTTCGAGTACAGTGAAGGGTTAGTCGCTCTCCTTCAGCGGCCTGGGCGGTGAATGAAGGGTGGTGAAAGAGGGAGTCTGAGCTGCACGGTGGGGAGGATGAAGGGGATGTCCCTTTTGACACTTGGAGCTCGTCTTGGAGGAAGGGAACGTAAACGTGGGGTGTACTAGAGCGTTCATTTTGTTTCTTTTAACATGCATTATGCAATCGAAACATTTTTTAAAGACCTTCTGGATATTTGGTGGAGAATCGTTATGGAGATCTTGCACGGCGTATGCTCTTGCCAACGGTGAGATGCCAAGGGTTGTTCATAGAACGGAGGGGTTTGTGTGAGGGGATGCATGTGGCATTTACAGCGTGAAGAGGGGACTAGGCCCATTCCTGGCCGCACACTTTTGTCGGGAGGCTGTGCGAGGGTTTTGAAATGTGGAATGTAGTCTGGAAATTGTCCTCGTTCGTCGGAGAAGTAGAGGCAAGAGTGAAGGCTGTGTGTGGATGCTTGGAGAATGAACACGATTCTGGCGCTTGTACTTCAATGTCATCTCGTCCTGGAGGACGCCAGGCATTGGCTTGGAAATATCTCAAGAACATCGTTTTTGGATGCAGTTGTGACCTCAAGAGGAAAGGGCAATATGCACATGCCGGAGCTAGGTGGGCATTATGAAGGACAATTGTCCGGGTCGGGGGTTGGCCCGGCGGCCTCTGGTGGAAGGGTCTGTTGCCCCTCGCTGGCTGATTATGCAGCGCTGAGGGATTTGTCCGTAGGTCTGTTGCCCCTCCTCCTGTGTCCTCACTGAGTATCTCTGCTGACTGTCGCAGGTGGTTTGGGAAAGTTTAGTAGATAATTACACACGAGCAACGGGGGGTGTGGCTGTGTGACATGTGGAAGCAGGTAAAGGGCTTGAACCTGGAAGTGTGCAAGTGCTGGGAATTGCCTTTTTGCACGGATTGATGTGCTGGTGTATGGTGAAGGCGCAATTCCTACAGTCCGTGAATGCCCTGATAATAGCTGGAGGTAGGTTGGAGGAACAATAGATCATTGGCAAGAAGATGAGCGGACGGGACCTGTGTGGCGGAGGTTTGGAATCCCGCAGTGATGATAGCTTAATCGTGAAGCTGACACATTCCCCACCTTGGTCAGGATTGGTGGGGGGACTCGGTTAATGGATGTGAATTGCCAGATTGTTATGGTGTGCATTACTGGTTGTTTGAAACTTCAACACCATGGACATGAGTTTCTTCGAAAGCGTGTCGAGTGTGGAACGCGACATGCCAGCAGGCCTCAAGTGTGTGCGACCGGACGGATTATGACAAGAAAGACATCGTTGTTCCGGACGAATTATGACAAGATTATGACAAGAAAGACATCGTTGTTCCGGACGAATTATGACAAGAAATGACGTTGGCATAAATGGGCTGGCTTAGCCAGTTGGAAGCGGGAGGTGGATCGGCGGCTTGAAGGCCTGCGGGGGATAAGTTAGCCCGAGTTAATAGATTGAAGATATTTGCCTGTGGATTTGTGGTTGCTGCATATGCGGCGCTGCTGCGGTCTTCAGGATGAATGGAGAACAGTGGGCAGGATTGGAGTCGACAGTGCAGTTCTTTTGGTGGTCTGTTGGGCATTCTTTGTTGTTCGTACCTCTTTTGAATCGGTGATTGATTTCCTTGTACCTGAGACTGGGAAACAGTAACTTTTTTTTCTCTTAATCTCTGAGAGACATGTTGGGTTTTCCTGATGGCGATGGTGGCTGTGCCGAACAGGAAGGTTCCATTTCATCACTAATTTGGGGTTCTTTAGCTGGTCGTGCCAGTCTTTTTTTCTTTTTCAAGTTTCATTTCATTCAATTTGATTGAACCGAAATTGTCATTTGATGAAACCATGATTGATATTGTCGGCCTCTTTTTTTTTGTTTTGTATTTTTTTTTCAATGTCAGCCTTTTTCATGATCGTCGTGGGTATTTGGCTCTGGCTGCAGTTTGGGTGGGGTTTTCGTTGGGACTTTAATGGAGCATGAGTGTATGCACTGTTGATGTCTCTCCTTCAGCTGCTGATTTCCTCCTTCCCTCGTCTTTAAGATTTCTAGGTGGTTTTTAGGAGGATGAAAGCAAGCGTGTGTCAGGTTCTTGTTGGCCATGTGAGGATCCCCTGTTTAGAAGTCGCAGGTTCAAGTCCCACTTTTGCTGCCTGGGACGATAAACTTGTGTGGGTCTCCTATGTTTTTTTTAATTAGTTTTTGTTTCTGTGTTCAGGAGTCCTTTGCATCGTCTCGCATTACATGCATTGATGGCCCTATGAGAGGTATTGCAGTCTTCTGTGCCATTGTAAAGAATGGTTGCCATTAGATGAATTGAATAGGGTGCTTGTCACTTCTCTGGTGGCAATCGAATGGATTCCGCAACCCTGAGTAAGGCATCTCCCTCTCTGAATCTCTCTCTCTCTCTCTCTCTCTCTCTCTCTCTCTCTCTGTGTGTGTGTGTGTGTGTGTGCGTGTGCGTGTCTATTCACTCTCTTGTTTGTCTGTGAGCCCCTCCGCGTGGAAAAGTGGAAGAGAACTGGAGTTCACGCTGGGAATACTGTCTCAATTCATTTAGGGGATAAAGTTCTGGTTTTCTGGGACTTGATCTGTTGCATGGAAACTCGGAACAAACAGGGCGCCTGTCCATGTTGGCGATTGAGCGGAGAACTTGTAGAGGGAGGTGGTCGGACAGGTCTGCTACTCCCGAACGCAAATGATGACGCCCGTCGTTGGGAGATGCAGATGTGTATGGTTGATTGCTCCCCTTGGTTTTGGGGATAGATCGAGGTTGTTTGGCTCTCATGGATCGTTTTGATTTGCTAAGGAATAAGAAATGTGGACGAGTGTATTGCAGTGCTGGTCCCGGGGTGGTCCTGCCCAGGTACCTGCCTGCGCGGGCCTGTCTGGGCAGGGTCCGTGCAGGGTCCCAGGGCAGTCCCAGGGCAGAATATGAAAGAACTAAAAAAGGTGGGGAAAAAAAAAAAAACATCCGGGAAAGAAGAGGACGATTGGAATACAAACAACTTTTGGCCGAGGGTTTTGCCTCGAAAGTTCCTGAATAATTTTTGAGACAAATAAAATAAAAAAAGAAGACGGGAATTGCCGGGGTCCCTCATTGGGGTGTCCCTGAAGGCAATAAATAAATAAAGGCCACCCTGGGCTGAAAAGGCCACCCGGTCGGTGTCAGATTAGACACAAAAGATGGAATTGAACTGGGGTGGTTAGTCCAATGATAATAGCATCTAAAGGCCATCACCCTTTTAAAAAAAGAAAAGATTGTGCCCTTTAGACCCCCCCTCTCGTATCTTTTTTGTACCCCCCAATCCCCCCCGTGGGTTACCCATCGCTTAGATGGAACGGCGGATTATATTCCTCTTGTACCTTTTTTGTACCCCCCAATCCACCCCGTGGGTTACCTATCGCTTAGATGGAACGGCGGATTAGATCCCTCTTGTACCTTTTTTGTACCTGTCAATCCCCCCCGTGGGTTACTCGTCGCTTAGATGGAACGGTGGATTCCGACTTGTCAGGTCGAGTCCAGTCCTGAAACCGCGCAAACATAGTTATGTCACAAACCCTAAACAGGCAACAGAGGAGGTTCGTAGATAACGACGTAAACAATGATTCGACCAGACCCGAAGCATGGTCGAGCAGCAAATAAATAACCGAAGGAGCCACGTTCCGGCACGGGCTTCACCGCAACATAACGGTGAAGATAATGGGTGGTCGATATCGCTATAGACGGGACAATATTCCTCTTCTTGTTCGGTTTTTGTCCTTGAAACTTTCCTCTTCTTCTACTTGTTCGATGGCCTCCACTTTTTTTCTTCTTCTTCTTCTTCTTCATTGTATACATCTTCTTCATTTTTCCTTTACTTCTTCCATGTTGTCCTTCTTTTTCCTCTTGTAATGAACCACCCAAAACACAGACTGAGAACATTGCTGATTGCTGGGATTTGCCAATGGAATGAATACCTTGCTGTGATTCCAGCATTCTGCTATGGTCCCAAGACTGTGTGTGTGCGTGCCTGCTGGTTTGCATGCCTGTCTGAGTGCTTGCCGGATGTGTGTGTGTGCGTGCCTGCTGGGTTGAATGCCTGTCTGAGTGCTTGCTGGTTGGGTATGTGTGTAACCGCCAGGGTACTTGTTGGTTGCGAGGCCCACCGGGCCGGTACTTACCTGTGGCCGTGACTTTGGGGGGTTGCAGGGGGGTGAACATGCCGGTAGCGGGGAGTAGGCCCACGGCATTTAGAGCAGCTGGGGAAAAACACTCAACTAGCAGGTAGGCAGAGCAGAAGAAGACAAAAAGTTGGCATTTTTAGAGGCCCAGTAGTGGTAGGTTAGAGGTAGGCCGGTACCAGTCCAAGTAGGCCGGGGCTAGGACCTGTGCGGACAATAACAGAGCCTGCAATGATGTTTCCCTCCAAAAGGGAGGAGGTACCGGTTGCTGGGAGGCCGCTTGGCCTAGGAAGTCACCGCCCAGGAGACCGGTAGGCCGCTATATCTTCAGGAAGAGCGGTGAGCTCTTCCTCATTTGCGGTATGCAAGGATTGGCGACATGCTGCTGGAGCGCAACGCTGGTCTGAGGCAGCGCTGCTTGGAGGTGAAGGTCTGCTGGGGCTCAGCCTGGCTATGGCGAGCATCCCAGCTTGAAGGAGGAAGAAGGGGGATATGGTAGGAGAGTGGTAGGGCACTTACCTGGCTATGGTGGACACCGTCTGCATCACCTTGTTGGGTGCTGCATGGCTATGGTGGACACCGTCTTCATCACCTTGTTGCGCGCTGCATCTGGAAGGCCCCGGTTGGGGTAAGGCTGTACCAGGGCAGCTAGAGGTAGGGTCAGGCATAGCGGACCGAGTCAAGCAGCGACATAGCTGCTTTGGGTTGTCTTTCGGGCGTCAGGGCAACATCATAGCTGCCTTCCAGTAGTTCGCCATGACCTATGCTTGAGAGAGGAGGTTGAAGGAAGGAAGACATAGCCATGGTGGACTTGTTGTTGTTGTTGTTTGGTTGTGAGTTGAGTCAGCAGTAAGGGGGGAACTTCGGACATTGATTCTGGCTCATTCATTCATTGTTATTATTATTATTGAGAGAAGAATAAGATTGGTGAAGAGGAGGAAGGAGGAAGGTGGAGAGTGAAGGGGGAATTGTCATTGGTCTTGCTGGTGTACTTCTTCTTTACCTATCCTCTGGTCTTTATCTCTTTGCAAGTGCTTTCATTTCTTTCGCAATTGGATGGCATTGTCTTTCATTGTGAATTTGCACTTGGGAAATGACCAGGTTCGTAACAATTGGTATCGGAGCGGACTTACTTGCTGGCGAGAGGTGTTAACCACCCTAACCCTAATTCCGAATTAGGTTAGGGCTGACCTAATTTCGGATTAGGGTTGGGAAGTTAGGGTTAAGTGGGGCAGCGAGGTATGGGGATGCTGCCCCCACCTGGTTAGGTCATGTAGGGTCGACATTGGACACAACCAGGTTGCTTGAGTGAATGTATGGGGTGGCGAGACACAAAGGAGGCTGATTGGAGTAAGAGAGAGGGAGTAGAGAGGGAGAGGTACTCGCTTCTGGATTCTGGACTTCAGGAAGACATTGAGTGACTTTTCGGCTTTCCCTCAAGAGGGAGACTTGATCGGAGGCTGCCATAACTGCATCGGATTGCTGCAAGTTGCTACTTTGTTCTTCAGGCATCGACGGGGGATCCGGCTTTGCAATAAGGGTGTAGGAAGGAAGGCCCTCTTAGTCATGCTAGGACACTTCGTGTAGTGGTAGCTAGGGGTCAGGAGGACTTATATGAGAGGGGAGTGACTTGTTATCCATCTTTGGAGGCCGGGTCTCACAGGTAAGTGCCGTGTGAACGGGGAAAGCCCGTGGGAGGTTGCTTGGTGCTTCATGGCCTGTTGGGGGTGTGCTGGGTTCTCTTCCTCTTCTCTGCGGTCTTGGTTGTCTGTGTGAGCTTGTGGATTGCTTTCTCACCTGATGGATGGATGGATGATGTATCCACTCTAAATGACATATCTTTCTACGGTGGATTGTCTTTTCTTTTCTGAACGGCTGTAGAAGTGAGTTCTTGCTGAAAGTTGTCTTTTCCTTTTCAGCACAGTAGAGGCAGTTTGGGACCGACTTGGTACCCTTATCACGTTGGTCCTGGTCCACGGCCTACTTGGGACCACTCGGGACCCAGTGGGACCAGGCCCAACGGGACAAGACCTTTTGGGCCCAAATTTGTTGCCGTCAGTGCATTTTTTGTTGTGCTGCATCTGGGGGGACACACGGACAGCAAGGGCATTCCTTTCAAAGGGATTTTGACTGGCCTTACCGCAGGTTAGCACATACCGCCTCGCGTCTGATTCGGCGACCATCTGCACCCCTCGAAATCTCCATTGCTGTAGATTAGTCTCTTCATCTGATTTATTGTGTTGACATTTCCCCTGTCAGGTTAGAAAAGAGGGGATCTCCAGCTGAACTGATCAGGCCCATTCTATAAATAAGACCTATTTGCTGTTTTTTTTTTTTTTTTTTTTTTTTTTTTTTTCTTTGTTTTATTGTGTTGAAATTTTCCCTTTCAGGTTAGACAAGAGGGCACCTCCAGCTGAACTGATCAGGCCTGTTCTATAAATAAGACCTCTGCTGTTTTGTTTTATTTATTTTTATTTTATTCTTCTGCTGCGTGCCACGTGCTCAGTCCAAATGATTCGCCGCGGCCAGGAGTTCTACCTTCTTCTTTTAGTGGTTTCCTGTTTGTTTCTTCTATCTGAATTATCTATGTCCGATATCGAGACGCGTGCGCAGACAGTGAAAAGAGAGGAAAGGGAGAGAGAAGGTGTGCTGTTTGAGAGTGTGAGAAGGGGCAAGAGGAGTGTTCGTCCAAACGTCAGGAGAGAGCGGACCCCTCTTGAGAGTTCTAYTGACACCCCTTCCTCCGGCATGGCGAACATCACATCTGCCCAATGGCAGGCCATGTTGGATACAGCGGACGAGAGCCAGAAACCATTCTTTTAAAAACTGTATGATGATGCCGTGCAGAGAGAAAGGGAGGTAGCTGCAGCAGCTAGAGCCGCCGTCATTGCTGATCAGGTGACCCTCCTCCGGATTCCGGAAGCTGACCGGTTCCGGGAGGAATTAGCTGCTGCTGTAGCAGCCTTGGTCCGACTGCGGACCTTGGAAGACTTTGAGACTCGTATGACAGCACTTG